ATAATGTTCCTGTGAGTTTTCAACTTGGCATCTCTTTCAGGTGGTGATTGGTGGATTTTTACATCAATAATTTCTCCATTGAGCCACTGACAAGTATACTTGGTCAATTAATAAACATTCATTAAGCACCTATTATGTGCTAAGTACCGGGGATATAAAGAGAAGCAAAAGATCATCCTGCCTTCTACTCCTCAACTAATTTAGCCCATTTAAGTTCTCAGGATCCCAAATCCAATTCTTAATCCCACTGAGGAGCTTTGGGCACCAGAAATGAGCAAACCCTCGCCAAATGGGTTTTAGGGATACCCCTGAGTTGGGCTTTTTTTTTTAAAGCCATCATTAGAATATCCACAAATGGATGATTTCAGAGAAACCTGTGAAGACTTGTACCAGGTGATACAGAATGAAGTAAGCAGAACAGCTTATACAATAACATTTCACAAACAACAATAAACATGTTTCAAGGGCTTGAAAATTTTAATCAAAGCAACAAAACCTGTGGTTCTAGAAGACTGATGATGATGAAGCAGGCTACCCAGAACAGTGACAGCCGCAAAACACAGAATGAGAAATACATTTTTGGACACAGCCGATATAGGAATTTGTTTGGCTTGACTATGCAAATATATCAGCCCACTGCCTTAGCCCAGTGCAAGGCCTTGTTTTTTTTTTCTTTCCAATGTTGGGGTGAATAGATGGTTGAGTGGGGATGGAGTAGCAAACAAGAAAAAAAAGGAGAGATCATGGAGGTATCTATTTTTAAAATGCAGAGAAGGAAGCAGAAAGAAGACCAAAAATAACCACAGATAAACAGGTCAGTTTTGAAAGCCACAAATTAAACTTATTATATACAGTGAGGACCAAAAGCTTAGCTACTAAAGCTTAAAACTGCACCAAGACTGTGGGGACACCCTGTATTTAAAAGAAAAGCAAGCTATATGTAATAGAGATCTGCAGTTTCATATACAATACTCTTTTTCTGGCCCACTATGTAAATGTAAATTTCTGTTTTGGTAAAAGTTTGTTAAGTTCAGAATAAAAATATCAAATTATTTTTAAAAGACTTGTGTGAAGAGATATGCAAGGGCATGAGGGGATTCTGTCAGTTTGGACATTTCTCTGAGTACAACAATGCTTGGATTAATGATAAATTAATAAAATTTGTTAGTGACAGACATGTACCTCCAAGGTAGAGCACAAGGTTAATCTTTTTCTTCAAATTTTTTTTCAAGTCTTTTATATTCTCCCTCAATTTAAAGGGGTCACATGACTTCTTGCATGCCATTAAAACATAACAGGCAGTTAGGAAGAACATAAATTTGCTGCATAGGGAAAGTATGGAAGGGAACAGGTGTGATAAGACTCGGAGCCTGCGTATGTTCACAGATGTTGTGGTTTCTATAGACTACCTGAAATTATCGATAAAAATTCCTGGAAATAGACCCTTCTGACTAGCCCACACAGATTTAAGGGGACGTTACTTTCATAGGATAAGTATCAAAGAATGATCTTTAAAGGCCAAAAGCATTAAGAGTTAAGGTAGATTGTGGTGTTAAGTCAAGAAGCATTTATTAAGCATACACTTTGTACCAGACAATGAGCTAGGGAAAACCTAAACAGGCAAAAAGAAAAGAAGAAAAAAGTCCTTGTTTGAAAGGAGCTCACAGTCTAAAGGAGGAGACAGGAAAACAACTAGGTACAAACAAGACATATAAGGGGAGACAAAGAGATCACACAAAGGGAAAATGGACCCACGTATACAAAAATATTTACCACAGCTCTTTCTATGACGGCAATTGATGGGATGCCCATCCATTGGGGAATGGTTGAACAAGTTGTGGTATATGAATATAATGGAATACTATTGTGCTATAAGAAGTGATGAGCAGGCCGACTTTAGAAAAACCTGGAAAGACTTGTATGGTCTGATGCTGAGTGAAATGAGCAGAACCAGGAGAACTTTGTACACAGCAACAGCCACACTGAGTGATGACTGACTTTGATAGACTTAGCTCTTCGTAGCAACACGAGGACATGAGACATCTCCAAAGGCCTCATGATGGAAAATGCTATCCATATCCAAACAAAGAACTATGGAGTTTGAATGCAGATTGAAGCATGCTATTTGCTCTTTTTTTTCCTTGTTTTGTTTCTTCTTTCGTGTGGTTCCTCCTATTGGTTCTAATGTGAAAATATGTTTAATAGGAATGTATATGTAGAGCCTATATCAGATTACACACTCTCTTGGGGAGGGGCAGAAAATTTAAAACTCAAAAGCTTATGGAAATGACTGGTGATAAATCAAAACAAGTTAATTAATAAAAAAAAAAAAGAAAATATGGACAGTAAAAAAAAAAGCTATATAAGGGATACTTTGGAGAGAATCTCCAAGGGAAAGCCCGAGGATTAAGGAGCCCAGGGAAAATTTCTTGCAAAGAGTGGGGGTTTTTGGTGGTGGTGTTTTTGTTTAGTCATTTTCAGTCATGTCTGACATGGGGATTTTCTTGGCAGAAGTACTAGACTGATTTGCCATTTCCTTCTCCATGTTTACTGATAAGGAAACTGAGGCAAAAAGGATTAAGTGACTTTCGCAGGGTCCCACTGCTAGTGTTTGAGGCTAGATTTGAACTTGGGTCCTCCTGACTCCAGGCACTCTCCACTGCACCACCCAGCTGCCCCTGGGATTTTTACTAAGACTAAGGAAGCCAGGGAAACCAGGAGGCAGAAAGGAGGAAGAGAGTTCAGACATGGGGGACAGTCAGGGAAAATGCTCCTAGTGGGGAGATGAAGTGTCTTATGCAACAAACTGCAAGGAGGCCAGAGTCACTGAACAGAAGAGGAAGGGATAGAGGGAAAGATCTGAAGAGACCTGAAAGGAGGAGGGGGAAGCAGATTATAAAAGGCTTTAATGCCAAACAGAAGCATTTTATGAATATCTAATCCTGGAGGTGACAGAGAACCACTAAAGTTTACTAAGTACAGGGATGACATGGCAGGCCTATGGTTTATGAAGGTCCAGTCCAAGGCTGATTAGAGGATGGACTAGTGCAGAGACACGTTTGAAGCAGGAAGACCAGCCAAGAAACTACTATAATTGTCTAGACATACACCACATTGATGACAGTATCAGAGAAGGGAGACATATACAAGAGATGTTGTGAAAGTAAAAGTGTTCCAAAACCAGGTGACTGTCATTGATTGTAACAGATCAAAGGGTTTGGAGTAAAAGATCATAAATTCATGTGGGGACAAACAAGTTCATTTAAAATGCATATGGGACATCTACTTCAAGATGGCCATAGGCACTTGGAAATGCAAAACTAGAAGCTGGAAAAGAGGTTAGGGCTGGATAAATACACTAGAATCATGTGCATGCTGATTCAGCTAACATTTGATGTTAATTGAATCCACGTGAACTAACCCGATTACTAAAACGGGGAGAGAAAAAGGCCCAGGGCAGAGTACTGCCAGGACGAAGACCCAACAAAGGAGACTAAAGGAAGAGGAAAAGCAGGAGTGCAGCATCCAGAAACCTTAGAGAAACGAGAATATCAAGAAGATGGTGACTGACAGTGCCAAAATCTGCAGAGGGGTCAAGGAGGAGGAGGACTGAAAAATGGCCACCGGATTTGGCAATTAGGAAATCGTTTGAGTCCCTTTGGAGAGCGCACTTTCAGCTGACTGCCGGGACTGGAAGCCGAGAGAGACGACGGGAAGAGGAGGCACTGACAGAGAGGCCTTTTGGAGGAGTTTGGTCCAGAAAGCAAGGAGAGACTTATGCACGTCAGCTAGAGGGGCCCCCTGCAATCGGGGACAGGGGGAGCAGCTGGGTGCTTTCTTCACCAGCGCGCTCCCAGGAACAGCGGAGCTTCCGGAGGGCAGGGCGGTGGGTTTCTCTCTTCCTTCCTTCCTTTCTCTCTCCTCTTTTTTTTTTTTTCTGGGTACCCCCAGGGCCCAGAGGAGCGCCCCGCACACGATGGGAACTTAACAAACACTGCCCGAGTCACGCATTCCAGTCTACACCGGGTAGCGGCAGTCCGCGGCAGCTGAGGTCCGCAGCTCGGGGAGGTCACTGGAGGTCACCGAGTCCACAGTTCAGACGCTCCCTCAGGAAGCCACCGGACCCTCCCTGCCTCAGTTTCCCCACGGGTCCAACGGGGATAACGAGGCCTGGGGGAAGGGGTCAGGAAGGGTTTTGTGTAGAGCAGAAGTCCACTTTTCTGTGGGTCCCCGCCCCCGTGACAGTCTGGTACTAAAGGCAAGCGGGAGCCACAGGGGAATGAGAGAGAGTAGGCTCGTGAGACGAACACGGTCTGAGGGGAAAAAAAAATCACCCGGGAGGCCTCGGCCTTTCTCACCTACGAAACGGGGATACGTTTACACTTACACTACCTACCCACCTGGGCAGGTAAGCGCCAGGCTCCCCGAAGACTGCCGCCGCTCCGCGCGCCTCCTCCCCCGGATGTGACGTACGCGGCGCTCGGCCAATGGAAGCTCACCACGCTCTCCGTTGCCTTCGGGGACGCCGGCGAGCCTCGGCTCTCGGCCCCGCCCCCAGGCTCCGTGCAACGGTTAAAACGTTCCGGCGACCGGCTGCGGCTGAAACAGTAGTTCCGGCCCTGGTCTTCTCCCGCGCGACGCCGGGAGATCTTCCTGATTGGCCCGCCTGGGGCCGGGGCGGGGCTGAAACAGGACGGCTTTGAGATAAGGACCACTTCCTGCCGCGCGAGGACGGAAGCCGCGCGCTGCCGGAAGTCATCCCGAACCTTCAGAATCCTTTCAGTGAAGACACAAGGAAGACCGAGCGTGTCGCCGCTGGCTGGCGGAGCGGTTGAGGGGTTCGGTTGGGTTTCTGATCCGGGTCCGCCTCCGCTGGCCTCCGACTCGGCCTGGCCGCGGCGAGCTCGCCTCCGCCCCGCGCAGCACCACGGCCCCCTCGTCCAGCGCGGGGCCCGGCGCGGCAGCCCGGCCCGGGACGCCGGCCCGGGCCCTGCCTAGGCGCCTCCCGGCCGCGAGCCTGGCCGCTCGGGGCCGCGGCCAGAAGGCTCCAGGCTGCCTCCCGCCCTGAGCCGGGGAGCCCACGGCCTCGCCCAGCCATGTCCCCCACCGTCTCCCACAAGGACAGCAGCCGGCAGCGGCGGCCCGGCCCCGTCAACCACTGCCCGGACCTGAAAAGCGGGCCGCTGCCGCCAAGCGCCTGGGACGACGAGCTGCCCGCCGACGGGGTGGGGGGCGAGGCTGACACCGAGGCGCTGCTGCGGACTGCGGGCGGCCGGCCGCCCTGGGGCCCGCGGGGCTACCGGGCCGAGCTGAGCAACATCCTGCTGCTGTTCTTCCTGTACGTGCTGCAGGGCATCCCGCTGGGGCTGGCGGGCAGCATCCCGCTGATGCTGCAGAGCAAGAACGTGAGCTACACCGACCAGGCCTTCTTCAGCCTCGTCTTCTGGCCCTTCAGCCTCAAGCTGCTCTGGGCCCCGCTCGTGGACGCCGTCTACTTCAAGAGCTTCGGCCGCCGCAAGTCGTGGCTCGTGCCCACGCAGTACATCCTGGGGCTCTTCATGATCTACCTGTCCACGCAGGTGGACCACATGCTGGGCTACGCGGACGGCCGCAGCCCCGACGTGACGGCGCTCACCCTGGCCTTCTTCGTGTTCGAGTTCCTGGCCGCCACGCAGGACATCGCCGTGGACGGCTGGGCGCTGACCATGCTCTCCCGGGAGAACGTGGGCTACGCGTCCACTTGCAATTCTGTGGGCCAGACGGCCGGCTACTTCCTGGGCAACGTGTTGTTCCTGGCCCTGGAATCTGCAGACTTCTGTAACAAGTATCTGCGGTTTCAGCCCCAGCCCAGAGGCATTGTTACTCTGTCAGGTACACTCAGAATGTAGTTCCTAGTCTGGGCTTTATTTACGCTTAAGCCGCATAAACAAGCTCCTTATACGTGGTGACCAACGCTTAGCGAATGTGTTGAAGTTCCTGGAATGCGTACCTAAAAACAGCTTTTATTTCTCTGTGGAGAAAAGACAGGAATGAAATGAAAAGTAAATTCACTTTAAAGCAAAATAAGCAGGATTTAGTACTTAGCAGTTTCTAATCATGACCACATTCTCCGTCAGCTCAGTTCAGTCTAAAGTGAAGTTAGGTTTTTAAGAATACAATTATGTCATCCTCTAGGTGTAATTATTTTAATAACATGTCTTTTACATGTCTCCCCAGATATCACAATATAAGAATTAGAAGTAGAATAAACAAAAAGTATTATGGATTTAAAACGTGAAACAAAACTAAGGATGGGAATGTGCCAGCCGGTCCCAGCTCCCAAGGAGCTCATACTGCAGAGGGAGGTAGCATATAGAGGAGATTTTAGCTGCAAGGCAGATGGGAAGGACCATTAGACTTCAGGGTGCAGCAGCAAAGCAGGTGGTAATGAATCTTCCTTAATGTTCTTTCCATTGATTTTTACTGAGCTGTTTGACTGTACCAAGGACTTTGGTAGAGGTCTTTTTTGGGTCTTTGGTAGTTGTGGCTGCTGAAGAAAGGGCTGCAGCACCTGCAAGGACAGTGTCTTCAAGAGGCCAGGCTGGTTGTGAGATTGGTAGGCCTGGAGGTGGGGTAGAGGGGGTGACACTGCTGTTCCTAGAGCCCATGAGCAGCCCACAAGTTGGATGGTGGTGGTAGAGGTAGAGACATCAGGCCCCCTCACGTTGAGAGTTGTTTCCCACAGGGTGGTCTGTGGGGCCCTGCAGTTCTCGGGCTCTGGGCCCTGGTATGTCTATACTCATCCCAAGGGGAAGTGATAATTGAGGTGGTAGTTGTGCTTTTACCGGCTTGACACAGGCTACTTCCATTTTCTCCTGAAGGACTCCTTACTGCTGACTCTAACACTGCTGCTTTCTTGTATTCCAGGAAAAATTGTCAGTAGATAGCACTTTTACATATTATAAGGAAAATCAGAATACTAAAAGAAAAGTTTTAAAATCTGAGTATATCTCGCAAAGTGCATTTTATTCAAAGACAGCCTCTACCCATAGTCAGTATGCATTGGTTATCATTTCATAGACGATAAGCTCATATGAGGAAATGGAGAACAGATAGGATTATTATGTTTAGAAACAGTACAGTCTTGGTTATCCAGGAACCAGGCTTGTGGCACCTTCAAGCTTCCAGACCTTGAGCTTGGTAATGGTAGTTGGGGGAAGAAAGAAATAGGAGAGGGGGTGGCAAAGAGGATGAGAGGAAGAAGGGAGACAAAGCAAAATGGGAAAAGTGTAGAGATCACCTGTGGCAGAAGCAAGCCTAAAACCCAGGTCTCCTGCTCCCTAATCTGGGATTCTGTCCATTAAAATAGGAAATCTTGATGTGGAGAACCAAGACCACCCACACGGAGTCATGAATTGCAGTCATTATCAGTTGACCAGCCAGGAAGTCAGTGGTTTTCCAAAGGTGCAGTGGAAAATTCACCTCCTGCCTCTAGCCCTTTAGGTCTAGTTTCCTCGTCTGTGAAGTGAGAATAGATGAATCAGAGGATCTTAAAGGATCCTGAACTTTTTCTTAACTGCGATTTTTGCTTCTGGATGAAGCACATCAGGGATTGGTATGTTAGGGTCCAAATATGGCAGCTACATTTTCATTGATTGGAGTTTTTTCTAGAAATCTTTACAGGTCGTTCCCTTTTTTATTTGTTCTTTGCCTTCTATTTTCACCTCTGGCTGAACTGACTTTAAGGCTCTCACCAAGTTATCTGTAAGGTTGTTTTTTCCCTCCATCGTCTAAGATGTTTTGTTTCTCCAATAGGCAAAAATCCACCTTCTTTCCCTCCCACTGAGAAAGAAAGAAGACTAAAACCACTGTTACAAACATTTACATTTAAGTGAAGCAAATTTCCACATTGGCCGTGTCCAAAAAACCCTTTTCTTATTCTGTAATCTGAGTCTTTCACTTCTCTGTCAGGAAATGGATGGTATGTTTCATCATTAGTCATAGTTGGTCTTTGTGCTAATCAGTGTTCCTAATTTTTTTGAAGATGTTTGACTTTCCCATATTGTTGTCATTGTATAATTCTCCTGGTTCTGTTCACTTACTCTGCATGAGTTCATACAAGTCTTACTACGTTTCAATGAAAGCATCCCCTTTGTAATTTCATTTAGCACAGTAGGATTCCATCACATTGATTTAACATCACTTGGTCAGCCCTTTCCCCAATTTCTCTACCTTAGATTCCCATGCTTTACCACCTCAAAAAAAGGTGTAAATATTTTTGCATCTTTAAAGTTTCTTTTGCTTAGGACTAATCTGCCCTTAATTTACCCTCCCTTTAGTTCCCCTTTCTCCGCTTTGCATCCTACTCCCCTGTTGAGGTTCAAGTGTTAGTCACTCTTCTCTCCCCCTCCTCCTTGTTTGTATCTTTATTTCCTAATTTTCCCTAACTTTTGACTCCTTTACCCTTTGTTCTGTATTTCTCTTCTCTTCTCTTCTCTTTACCTCTCTCTTAATATTGTCAAGACATAAAAACCATTCCTAGGCCTTGTCTAATAGACTTGTCTAAGACTCCTGCTGATGATATGGTTCAGAGGACACACATAGATCGTCTCCCCATATTGGAGTGGTAGCAGTTTTATCCTTGTGTAGTCCCTTAGGATTGCTTATTTGTGTTAACTTTTTTATGTTTCTGTGTTTAAACTTGAAAGTTTCTCTGCAGCTCTGATCTTTTCATCAGGAATGCTTGAAAATGCTCTATTTCATTAAAAGTCCACTTTTTCCCCAGTAGCATGATATTCAGTTTTGCTGGGTAGGTTATTCTTGGCTGTAAACCTATCTGTCTGATTCTCTCACCCCCAGCCTCTACAAGTTCCTGCGATTTTTGTTTTGAGCAACAGTAATAATAATTTGTACTTTTTTACATTTATGTATCACTTAATATGTGCCAGGCACTAAGTGCTGTACAATTATCTATTTAATCCTCTGGACAGCCTTTTTTTTTTTTTGCATTTCAGTAGTCATTCATTCACTTTTTTATTTTACATTTCTTGGAATATATTTATTTATTTCTCTTTTTTATTACATTTTTTAAAAAATTTATTTATTTTAGTTTTCAACATTCATTTGCATAAGCTTTTGAGTTTTAAAATTTCCCCCTCCCTCCCCAAGACAGCATGTAATCTGATATAAGCTCTACATATACATTCCTATTAAACATATTTTCACATTAATCATGTTGTAAAGAAGAATTAGAACAATAGGAGGAACCATAAGAAAGAAGAAACAAAACAAAACAGAAGAAAAAAAAATACCAAATAGTATGCTTCAATCTGCATTCAGACTCCATAGTTCTTTCTCTGGATGCAGAAGGCATTTTTCATCATGAGACATTGGAGATATCTTAGATCCTTGCACTGCTGAGAAGGGCTAAGTCTATCAATATTAGTAATCGCACTACATGGCTGTTACTGCGTACAACATTCTTCTGGTTCTGCTCACTTCACTCAGCATCAGACCATACAAGTCTTTTCAGGATTTTCTGAAGTCTGCCTGCTCATCATTTCTTGTAGCACAATACTATTCCGTTACCTTCATATACCACAACTTGTTCAGCCATTCCCCGATTGATGGGCTTTGGACAGCTCTTTTAGGTAGCTGTCCTACCCAGTCCCTGTCAGCCGGCTGGGAAGTTCTGCTGGTTCAGAGAAGACAGCTGCAGACTATTTGTTCAGGTCCTTGTCCTGCTTATTCATCTGCAGGTTTCATACTGGGATAGAAGCTGGCACTAAGATTCTGCTCTACTCGTGCTGTTTATTTCTGAATTTGCTCCTCTCTCCATACACATCCCAGAGACTGTGATGGTCCCTCACCCTGGAAGGCCATCCTTAGACACTGATCGCCCCCTCATACCTCAGACTAGGGATCTAGGATTTCTTCTGGCCCTGATGCACAGTCTCTCCAGTCCCTTTCTCAGTGTCCACAGACTTCTCTGTCTGTGTCCCTGTATTCTAAGGCTGGACAGAGGGCTCATTGTGACTTTTTCGAGATTTCCCCATCAGGATTCAGTCTTGTGAATTTTCCATATCTGTTTGAAGGAGTTGGAGGGGTAGCTCAACATACTGTTTCCTGCTACTCCACCATTTTGTACATTTTCCACCTCAGAATTTCCAGGATTCCTGCATGCTGGAGGTAGCTCGGAGGGCAGTGAGTGTTGGATACCTGAGCTCCAGGCCTGCCTTTGATAGCTTCTTGTTTGTTTGTTTGTTTTGGTGAGGCAGTTGGGGTTAAGTGGCTTGCCCAGAGTCACACAGCTAGTAAGTGTTATGTATCCGAGGCTGGATTTGAACTCAGGTCCTCTTGACTTTAGGGTGGGTACTCTATCCACTTCGACACCTAGCTGCCCCTGATACCTTCTTAATTGTGTGACTGAGCCTCTCCAGCCTCCACTTCCCGCTCTGTGTACACCAGCTAGTGTTAGGATTGCCAGCTCTTTGACCCTGAGTTCTTAACTTCAGTTTCCTCTTCTGCAAAATGGAAGTACGAATACTTTTACTCTATACCTCACTAGGAAATTGGGAGGAAGGTGGTTTATAAGCCTTAATTAAGACCCCCACATATGTGCTTGTTATTGTTGTTGTTCTTTAGTGGGGGGGGGTGCAAATTAAGTCAGTGAAAGAGGGGATTGAAAAAACACTACAGAAGTCGTTACAGAAGTAAAAGGTGAAATGTGTGTCATCTTTATTTACACATTTAAGTGTTGTGCTGGGGAAGAGTTTCATAAGAATTGCTAATGTAGAAGAAAAGGCAAGTATTGCCTGCACGGCACTGTGTCACTCCACAAACCCCTTAGCCTTGTTACACCTTCCCTGTTGCCTTCTGAACCTGGGGCAATGTCTTCTTGAATGTTTACCATGTTGGCAAATCTTCCTGCTTTTGGGATGGATTTGACTTGGAAAAAGCTAGAAGTTGCTTAGAGCCAAGTCTCTTGAATATTACAAGGAATCAAGCTAATACTGATTATCATATTACTGACTAGTCCTGGTTAGAAAATAAGGAATGGCGGAGTTTTCTTAGGGCTCATAAATCAATTCTTAAGTAATTTTTAAATCCTATCTTTATCAGTAGTTATTGTTTCTGCATCCTCCTCATTTCCCAATATATCCCTCCCCTCCCTGGTAGCAATGTTTAAGAAAGGGGCGGGGGGGGGGAACGTCTGACCAAGCCAAGCCATGGGCAGAGCTTCACATCTCACTCGACTTAGCAAAGAATTCAGGGGCTGCATTTTCTCAGCAGCACAGAATTGGACTCACTGCAGCCCTGTGTGAGCCAGTCTGTTTCAGGTTTTGCATCATTTCCACTTAGATTGTTTGCTTTGTATATTGTTCTCTTGTTTCAGCCTCCTTCACTCTTCTGAAGCTTGTTCTAAAAAGATTTTGGGCTAGGACAGCTGAATGCTGGAGGTGGAGATCGCCCCTAAATGATGATTTTAAAAAACAAAAGCCCCTGAGTGGGTCACTCACTTGGATTCTTGCAATTTACTCTCTCCACAGCTCAACTCTCAGTTTCCAGGACTAGCTCTCTTGAGTCCAAAGCTGTCTCTCTTCTTTACTTACAGAAGGCATGTTCCTTGAAACTACTTCCCACCTCATGACTGCCTCTCCAAATATGTGTTTGTCTGGAGAGTGTCTGTTCCTGCTTCCTCAGCTGCTCCCTGAGTACTCTCAAACTGACTTCAACCTGTGGAAAGTCTTTCCTTCTGGTACAGTAACCATGCTATTGGATGCCATGGTTGATGAATGGGGAGGGAGAAAAAAAAGAGAATGCATTCTCCTTCCCCAAGAACCATTCCCTGTCAACATTTCAATTCTTTCTTCACTGCTAGAGACTCCGTAGCACACTGGATTTCAACATGTATGCCTGAGACCCTATCAATAGGGCCACAGGATACTGAGCTGTCATTTTTCTATTAAAATATTCCTCCCTTTCCCAACTACATATCTGTGTAAGGTTGGATTTTCTTCATATACTTCAACCAGAAAAACATATCACAACAGATAAAATGCAGAAGAAGATAATTGCAAAAGTATGTAAAATAATGCCTCCCTTCTGTTTTCTCTGTTTTAGGAATTATAGTTTTGCTTCATAAAAACGTTATTTCTGTTGACCTGTAATAGGTTCATTATTGTTTAGAAGTGAATCAATAAATATTTTTAAAATTAATTTAAAAAAAAAGCCAGGTCTGGCCTTCAAATAGAACCAGTCGGGGGCAGCTAGGTGGTGCAGTGGATAGAGCTCTGGCCCTGGAGTCAGAAGGACCTGAGTTCAAATGTGACCTCATATACTTGACCCTTACTAGCTGTGTGACCCTGGGCAAATCACTTAACTCCGATTGCCTCACCAAAAAGCAAAAAAAACCAAAACAAACAGAGCCAGTCATGACTCCACATAGTCACACTTTGTGTGTGTCAGTGGTCATTTTCCTAGGACTGTACCTCTCTCAAATAATAGAAGCAGTTGTTTAACAACTTCTTTTTCTTTGTTCGCTGATTCACTTTCTTGTGACTGGCCCAGGTGGCTGATCCAGTTTTTTAACATTGCTCCCTTTTCATTGCCTTGATCTTTCTACTTTTTCAGGAGAGTGACTGCCTCAGCCAAATTACTATTTATATCTGCTCCTAGATATATTTGTTGTAGACTCTTGTGACTTTTTTTATAACTTACTCCTATACCACCATATTGGTGGTTGAAGAAATTAAAAAACATACATAAATTAGAAAATTACTCTAAAATTATTGATATGTTACATTGGTGTTACTGTAATTCAGTGAAGAATCACAAAGATTAATGTATGATAAATTTTGTGCCTTTCCTTCACCTTCTGAAACAAAAAGATAGAAGCATCCTACACTCCATTGTTATACGCTCACTTTGAGGTGAATTATGGAGTAAAGGGTTTTTTTTTTATTTTAGATTTTCTGTTTTTCTGGGGGACCATATTTTTGATAACAACAACATTAGTTGCCCTTCTAAAAAAAGAAAACACAGAAATAACGCCATCGAAAGAAGAGACAAAAGGGATCACAGACACTTACAAGCTGCTTTTTACAATCATAAAGATGCCTGCAGTTGTGACTTTCTGCCTCATGATTTTAACTGCAAAGGTAAGTGCATCTCTGAAACAGATATTCATCTAATTCTGTTATTGCTACTATCTTGCATTTATTTTATTTCAGAGATGAATTCAGTATATGTAAATCTGTTTTTAAGTATTTTAAGGGAATTTAAAAGGATTAGACCACATACAGTTTGTCAGCCCTTATTCCCTCCCAATCTTAGTGCTATCTATGAAATTTCCAAATTTTTCGAGTCTTTTAAAAGGAAAAAAAAAACTTGAAAGAATTTGGTAGGTAACAAGTAATATAAACCTTAAATCAAAATGGTTGGCAATCACGGCATAAATTTCAAATTCATGGAATTAGGTAGTGTTTTCAATATTGTCTTTTAATAAGCTATCAATTAATGCATTTGTAGTTCTAATTGATAGACAGCCTTTCATTCTAGTGTTTATACATTTGGGCTTTCTTATTTTCTCTGTACTCAGCTTTTCTACTATCCTGAGGGCTTCTTGACCTCCTATTTTTCTCTTACTTTGTAATATTTGTTCATGATTATGATCAAATAAATTGATTAAATTGAGATTTGGAAGGGCCTTTGAGGTTCTACCTCGAGAAGGTGAGGAACTCTTTCCATGACCTCAGGGCCTCTGGCTTCCAGGGGTTACTCTGCTTTCCTGATTTTTATCTAGTTAGCTGCACTTCTCCCTCCTTTTTTTATAGCATTCACTTTTCCTTCCCCTTTACTTAAGTTAGGACTTAGCAATAAGAATGTTGGATGGTGAATGCCTGTCCTGAAGAGAACAGAAAATGTACTTTCAGAGTTTGTGACGTGATATAGAGCCCCATATAAGTACCATACAAGTATTGCTAATACTGGTAGTAATAATCCATGAATTTAATTCAATTAATTTAAAATAATTGTATTTAATTATGTCAATAAAAGCTTAAAAAGGAAAGCCATAATAAAAATGAAAATGTCTGCACTAATGTAACTAGTATAAACATAATCTGGTTAGGAAGAATACAACTATTTTCTCAGTGTGTGTTGAATATTGGAGAGTTTGGAATCTGTTGATGAAAAAATCCCAAATTCTCAAATTGGAACTTAATTAGAAAATTTAAACTAATATGTAAGTGATTTTTTTCAACTATTTTTTGGATTCACACAGAGAAAAACTATCACGAATTAACTTTCTGTATTGTATAACTTTTGATATAGTGTTAAATATATATAAGTAATTTTTGTAAAGGAGTAATTATCTCAGTGGAATTCTATACCTAAACGTCAAAGGAAGGAATCCTTGCCTTTTTTTTTTACTTTAGCTCCTATCATTAAAAAAAAAAAAAAGAAGAACATTGAGGTAGCTAGGTGGCACAGTGGATGGAGCTCCAGCCTTGGAGTCAGGAGGACCTGAGTTCAAAACTGGCCTCAGACACTTGACACTTACTAGCTGTGTGACCCTGGGCAAGTCACTTAACCCCATTACTTAGCCAAAAAAAAGAAAAAGAACATAACATACTTTTTTCCTCTGTAATTTCTGAGTGATCTAATGTAAAGAACCCTATTTTGAGTTACAGGCCTGGCTTTCAGGTCCTGGCTGTACCACCTGATAGGGAGCCTCTCTGGGCCTTGGTTTTCTATTTATAACGGAAAAAGTCTACACTAGATGAACTTGAAAGGCCTGTCTAAGCTCTAGATCTATGATCTCCCTCCCCCTGTATTTTCCCTCATTCTGGAAAACATTGAGAGATTCTTGGAGTTTTTGAGTTATTTAGAGATTAGTTTTAAAGGGAGAAATATCTTTAATTTTTCAGGCAGTAGGGAAAATATAGTTTATGAAAATTAAAAAGTAACTGGAGTACATTTTGGTGCTTTTGTCATGGAAATTCAAAGGAGTGGAGTTTGATTTGTAACTAGTGGAGTCGAGTCGAAGCGCTGAAATTTACTCTTGGTTTCATTAGAAATACCGCAGGACCATGTGGCAAGTCCCCTTTGTTTGACTTGAGTTTTTTTTCACTTAAAAGATGGAGGCAGTGATGACTCACTTGGTCATGAGATGGACATAGATTTGTAATGAAGTAACTAATTTGGGTTCAGAAGGGAAGAAGGGTGGCATTGTCAGACTTGAAGTGAAAACACTGTGCTCCAGGCATGAACACGGCCCTTTGGACAATTGCTTCTTCTTCCTGGGCCTCCCTTTCCTTGTTTTCAAACCAAGATAGTCCTGTTTGTGATCTCTTGAGTCGTTTCCAGCTTTGAAAACACTTGATTGTCTGGTTCTGCTTTGGTGAAAGATGTCACAGAGCACAAGTTGAAGCTCCCTTTGTTTTTATGTTAACAGATCGGCTTTTCGGCAGCAGATGCAGTAACGGGCCTGAAATTGGTAGAAGAGGGTATGCCCAAGGAGCACTTGGCCCTGTTGGCCGTTCCCATGGTCCCCTTACAGATCATATTGCCTCTGATCATCAGCAGATATACTGCAGGCCCACAGCCACTAAATGTGTTCTACAAAGCCATGCCCTACAGGTAAGCGGGAAAGAAAGTGGAACAGAGAGAGTTCGTTCCCATATCTCTCACCTTAGAACTACATGTCTAAGCATAAAAATGAAAGTCACTTTCAGTTTTGTTTCTTTACATGATTTTTTATCTTATTGGCCTCAAGCACATTTGAGATGGAGGATCCTGTCATCATAGGTGCACATTAATAGTTTTATAAGATTTGGTGTGCGCCTAAAATTGAAAGCAGCTTCTAATTCTTTATTTCTATGCAGATTATTACTTGGCTTGGAATGTGCTTTGATGGTTTGGTGGACTCCCAAAATAGCGTATCAAGGAGGATTTCCAATCTATTACTATATTGTAGTGCTGCTGAGTTACGCCTTACATCAGGTAAAAAACGTAGTGATTGTCTGCTGAGGAGGCTTCCTTGTGATCTGTGCGACCTCTTCCTTGTGTAGTGAAGATGCACTTGCCCAGATTTGTCCTACTTTTAGTTGTAACTTCAAAAAGCAAGAGGAATTAGACAGGATTAGTCATTAAGAAGGCCTTTTTCTCCTAACAGTTTTTCAGAGTGGGGTGGCGCCACGAGACAGGAAGCCCTCAGCGTGTACTGCTGAGACAGAAGGGGCTGCTTTTTGTGGGCCCTGGTCAGGCCTTCCCTGTTTCTGTGGGGTGTATGGGAGAGGACGCATTTGTGCTAGGAGCCTTTGCACCGGGATACTTGCTTTGGCCTGGGGGGAAATTGAGCATGTGACACAGCAACAAGTAAGAAAAAATCCCCACTAGACAACCTTCCAAAAAAGAGAATGTATTTAAATATAAGAATTATTAGATACAGCACTCCTTCAGTTACAGAACAAGTGATTGATAGCTCAGTGGCTCTAAACAGTAAGCCAAAAGGTGATATGGCTGATAGGGGAACATGTCATTAGAAGACCAGGAGTTACCCCGAGAGTCTCCTTCAAGCCTTAGGCTCCATCATTTTATGCTCCATTTGTGTATTCAGGTCTGTAGGCCAAAAGCCCCAACTGAGGGTCACAGGAAATCTTGGAGCTGAGTCGACCTACTATATGAAAAGGTGTTATTTATTTAACATATTGTTACATGTCAGAAGATAATTCTAAAACAAGGTGCTGTTATACTCAAATAGGTTTTAGATATTTCTTCCTCAATCTCAGTCATTCTTGTTTATTGGAAATAGCCATTTAGTAGGGACACTGAAAGGTTGGGGACAATTCCTGACTCCTCCACTGCTTTTGGAGGTCTTGGTCATCCGCTTGACATTAGCAGAACTTTCTCTGCTGAATTGTGTCTGTATGTCTGTGTGTGTGACAGTTAGACAGACTTTGCAAACTGCACCTTAGGGCAGTGAATACTATTTTCTGTTAGGAGTGCATTTGTAGAATGTCAGGATTTTTAGCATTTTGTTAGAACTTGGAAAAAGAGCTGATCGTCACTTGACTTAAACTGCTTGGTCTGAGTCAGTTGTATTATATTTAGGAAGGTGGCTCAAACAAACATGGAGTAGAGAGCAATAACAATGGAAAAATCCCTGACTGTGGGGTCAGAGATCCTGAGTTCAAATTATGCCTCTAGCACTTGACTGTGTGGCCTTGGGCAAGTCAATTCCCCTCTTTCTCTTCAGTTTTCCCCTTTGTAAATTGAGGGGTTTGCATAGCTGAAAAGATCCTTCCTAGCTCCAGTCTTTGGTCCTAGAAAGCATGGCGAGAAGCTAGAAGACTTAGCTGTTGATCTAAGTTGAATACTTTGGGGCTTCTGCCAGTTTAAAAGTTTGCCCAGTTATCCCTCATGCCCCCTAGTAATGCCATGGCTGCTGGTTTACTCAAAATGTACATACCTGTGTTGAGAAGTCCGGAGATTACAACTTCCAACTAACTATAGTTTCTTTTGTTTGTTTGTTTGTTTGTTTTTTGGTGAGGCAATTGAGGTTAAGTGACTTGCCCAGAGTCACACAGCTAGTGAGTGTTATGTGTCTGAGACCACATTTGAACTCAGGTCCTGCTGATTGCAGGACTGGTGCCCTATCCACTGCTCCACCTAGCTGCCCCACTATAGTTTCTTAAGGGTAGGACATTTTTTATTGATTTGTATATTACACGAAATCCCTAGCCCAGTACAGAGTATTTAATAGGTGCTCAATTAGTAAGTGGTTGACGTAACATCATCAGCTATGTGCTAATTGTAAAGAGCAATTTTATCATTAAAAATAATTCCTTTTGAATTACACTGTTTGATTAAGGGGTTATGCAATCAGCTTACCTTTCTTTCCATGTTTTTCCTAGGTTAATGTCACAATTAATTCATATTCTTTACTAATCACATATGCATACCACTTGTCAGAGATAAACCTTTAAAGGATTAGTCAATATAGAAATAATTTGACTTGACTTTTACCACTTTAGGAGTAATTAACTTTTTTTCTTTACTAGTACAGGTCATTTGGAAGCTCTCTTGACTACATATTTTGCCATAGAATTATGACTGAAAAGCAGATTTGAATTTAACATTTAGTATTTTTAGAGTTTAAAATTTAATTTTAGAAAAAAGTAGACTACATCCTGTATCTTAAAACCATGCTCCTACACAACTAGAAATTCTCGTTATTATATCCTTAACACAAAATTGCCCTGCCCCTGCCGAAACACTTGGGGGCAGCTCACTGTTTTTCAACATAGTCAGTTCTGTTTGGGGCTGTCACTTACTGTTCATAATTTATCTTTACATCGAACAACATTTCTCTATCTGTGACTTTCACTCATTGCCGCTGGTTTTTCCCTCTAGAACAACACAGGAAAATTGTAATTCCTTTTGTGTGTGATAACTCTTTGAGGTCAGTGATCTGTTCCATCTACCCTCCCCCGCCTTCCAAGAAAGATGCCCTTGACAGGCTGGACCTCGCTAGTTCCTTGCTTTGATCTGTTTGATTTTTTCCTCTGCAGATCACATTGTACAGCATGTACGTTTCCATAATGGCTTTTAATGCCAAAGTCAGCGATCCCCTTATTGGAGGCACATATATGACCCTTTTAAATACTGTGTCCAATCTGGGAGGGAACTGGCCTTCCACTGTGGCTCTTTGGCTGGTGGACCCTCTCACAGTGAAGGAATGCTCGGGAGTGTCGGACCAGAATTGTTGGACTCCTGAAGCAGCTGAAGTGAGTAGAGTTGTTGGCTCGATCCTGCCCAGAATTTAGTTACCTGCGTTTCATCTTCTATCAGTGCCTTGTATTTAATTCCTCATTGCCCCTGCTACGTCACGATAACAGTGTTCTGTACTCGATGAGCGTCTGGTGTATGCACGGTGAATTATACACCGCTGACAATTTCTGTGCTCACACACCTTACAAGTTCTGGTGGGGAGAGAAGGGCTAATTACAGGTTCTGAAGTATTAACGACTGGCTATAAAGTAATAAAAGGAGCTAAAAGCGTATTTTCTTTGTTTATATGGCATATTGTTGCTGAGGAAAATAGTCTAGAAAGAACAAAAGTAAAATTTGTTGAAAATACCTACAGACTTTGAAAAGTCTGATCCTTTAATTTTTTTTAAAAAGTTTTTAATGCAAAATGATAGATTTTACAGGGAGAAAGCATGTAGAATTTTTTTTTTCAAGTCTTTCATGAAGATGGCTTATAATTAAATCATTTTAAATATTCTAGAAGTAGACAAATTATGCAGAATTTAAAGTTTGAAATGTATTTTGATTATTTAAATACTTGACAACAAATTCTCATTAATGTTCTTGTTCTTACAGCTTTGCAAAAAACTCGGTGGCTCTTGTGTTACTACATTGGATGGCTATTATGTGGAATCTGTTTTCTGTGTTGTTTTTGGATTCAGTTGGTGGTTCTTTGTTGGTCCAAAATTTAAAAAACTGCAGGACGAAGGAGCATCGTCTTGGAAATGCAGGAGGAACAACTGAAGCAGTTCACTACAGGACGGGCCAGGAAGGGGGACTAGTTTTAATTTTAATGCACATGTCATGATAATCAATGCACAGGAGTACAAATACACTGTCCGAGGAGAAAATTATTAATACAGAAATGCCAAACGGTTAAAAAGCTGAGACCTCTATGTATGTGATCTTTTTTTCCTTACCTTTTCAATGTAAAAATATACTTAAGGTCAGAAAATTGGTTCTAAAAATAGCCTCTCTCTTCTTTTTCTTGAACCATATTTTTAGTTTACTGACCAAAGCATGTTTCAGACTGCAGTGAGGTGGCTCTGGGAGAGTTCATCATGTCTCCCATGTATTGTTATTGACCCTTTCAGCTGAGATATGACTCTAGACACTTTGGTGTTGGATCATATTTGGGGCGGATGCATTAAGTGGAACGAAGTGCAGCCTGCAAATATGAGCAGGACTTTGTGAGATCAACAGCTAGAAATCTCCTTTTGGCTTTCACTTGCAGTAATTTTATTTGGAATCGGCTGAGAGGGGAAATTGAGACTACTGAGATGCCATTTTAACTCACTTTTCTGACCATAACTATGTTTTAAAGAGTAGATCTTTGTGTTTAAAAGTAACACTTTTAAATGTATTTTCTGGCTTTTGTAAGCATTTCAAGATTTATAAGAAGATGAAACAAATATTTTTTATAAAGTGAAAGTTAAGTTTTTTAATTTATTGACTTCATGTGGGGGAAAGGAAACATTCTAAAGCCTCGTTAACCTTTCTTAACGCTAAATCTGAGAGGGTGTGGGGCTTTGTTACCAGGGTCTCACAACAACCGGACTTGTAGAGAATGGTCACATTTAGTTTCATGTATATTTAATGGCATAATTTCAGAAATAAAAAGAAAGCACAATATTACTCAAGTAGTTTTCCTTTTTCTCCCCCCTTTAATTTTGAATTAAATTAAAACATTAATTTTTTTAACATCTGATTTGTTTCAGAGAAAATGTCAAAGATATTAGTGCCTTTGACAGATTCAAATAAATCGTGATGGTAACGGAAAGACCGATTGAGAAAGCACTCTACAGTTAGTGAGGAAAGATCTCACAGCTCACTTGTGCCCAACGAGGTGTTTGTCACGTTATTTCCACTTGTGGTCACAGAAGCTGCAGTTGGCAAACGAATATTTTCTGAGCAACACTTGCTGTGATGCAAAGTTAAGTAAATTCATTTTGAGTGCCTTTGCAATTTCCAACACATGTGTGTGTATATCCACTGACGAGGCACTTTGCATACCTTATGTTTTAAGTCATTATGTCTCTTTAGTAGACATACTAAATGGCTACTTTTAGTAGACATTAATACCTTTAAAAGGTAAAAATAGAAAAGAGAATATCTTCTGGTACTGATTTTTAATCCTTTTGAATTAAATTTCATAAGGTGCTCTTTCTGTTTTCCCTAGCCATGTTTGTTTTTTTTTTAGTGAGTTGATTTTGGCTGAAAAATGTTTACTAATTTATGACCTTGTTAATTTTGTAATATAAACTATATAGTGAGTGGGGTTTTATGACTATCAGAATACAAGCTGAGTGACTTTTTTTAAGGCAGTTAGCATATGAAGGCCATGTAAAAGATGTCCTGTAAGCCTCTAGGATTGTCAGTATTTTTGGCCCACTGCTGATGTTGGGGGTGGATGCCACGTCCTGATGACTCCCCAGGGAGACCCTCGTCCTAGGTAGAAGATGGCAACATTGAGTCCGGCATGCCAGACACCTGTTGTGTTAGCAGATTATGCTGTTGCTCGGCTGGTCCAACGTTGTGTATTTCGTTTAAAATGATTTACTTGAATAAAGGAAAAATAGCTCTTAATGTGAAATGTAGTTTTATCTTTAGTATTTTGAATTTAAAAGCTTAAAGTTTAGTTAATGACATGATTGCATTGTTCACCTGATCCATGGGAAGGCCAATACAAGTATATGAATATATGAGTTGTAACTTTAAGCCTATGGACACTTAAATAACTTGGACATTCAAAAAGCATTTTTTAAGTTAAGACTTGACAATAAAAAGTCATTTATTGCAACTAGACGAATTTATGGTAGTCATTTTAAATAGAGCCACATAATAACTAATAGTCATAAATTAAGTATTTGGTATATAAATGATTGTAATATGCCAAGGTGATTTGTTAATAAAATTTCACATTTGAAATATCAGCCATGATCTTTGCATAGATTATAGTCACCGTCAAAAGGAATTTGCCTATATGAAAGGAGCCAGTGTAATCTTAAGTACCAAAGAGGAAGGGCATCTTCTGTCTTGTGATTCTTTCACTCATGACTAATCTGGTAAAATAAACTTTAAAGGGGGAAGTCATTTTTTACATTGTTTTGTTTTACACTGTGAACATTTGGCATTACACTGTGAACATTTGGCAATCTCCTTGGTTAAGCTGACTGCTGTTCATAATTAATTTGTAGAACTAAAGAAATTGAATATTTTTTTCAGCATCTGTCATGTTTAAAAGCACTCTGTTGGGCAGTAGGGACACAGGGATGCACAACAGCACAGCCTTCACCCATAAGGCACTTACAGCCTAGAAAGGGGAAATGCTATAGGTGCACAAACAACTCTAGTATGAGATGTCCTATGAGCACAGGAGGGAGGTTTAAGTATTGAGGCCACTTCTAGCTGCCGGGGATCAGTGTTGGACATTGACTTGTTATGCAAAGTGTGCCTGTGTACATGTGCATTCACTGCAAACAAAAACCATAAAACACCCTGTTGTGGGTACACTCACTTTATTGGGTCAGTGAAGAAAGATGTGTTTGGAAAGCAGATTTGTTCATACCTTCTAGTATTTTAGTTAGCTTTGAAATTAAACCCAGCAGGGTAATGTTATCTATTAGATCCTTATTTTAAATATGTATCAACACATGGACTTGAAGTAGTTGCATTTGTTACTGATTAAAAATCTCTGGAAAATAAATTTAAGGGAACACTGTAACAAAACTGAAAACACGTGCGTGTGTTTTGTTTATAGAAAGTTTAAACAAGGCCTAGAGAGGAGAGGCAAACAGTTATGCTGGCAGAAATAGGAGCAAAGCAATTCAAAATAGCAGACCCTTGTACAAAGGGCCCCTCAGCTCACCAGAAGTTGGGCCACCAAGTGAATTGGATCTTGGTTTGTAAATTGTCCCCAATCTTTGGCATATTCGTAATTTAAATTGTTAGATTGTCATGTTGCTAACCTAACTTGCTGGGCCTGTCATAATACAAAAAAAGCTGCTGACAATCAGTTTATGTATAGAGGACCTTTCTGTCTTTGACCTTCCTAAGGGCATGTGGCCAGTTATAGAATCTCTAGGTCAAAGCGGTGTGGACATTTTTGTCTTTTCTGGTTTTTTAGCATAATTCCAAATTGCTTTCCAGAAAGACTAGTCAAACCTCCTTACAATTCCACAAAGTTTATTAGTGTCGGTCTTTACATAACCCCTCCAATATAACTATGCCCATCAGTTGCTCTCTTTGCCAATTTGCTGGGTATGTAAAACCTGGGAATTGCTTTGATTTCCATTTCTTATATGGTGGTTAATAGTTTGAAAATTATCTGTCCCTATACTTTTACCACTTTTTTGTGGAATTGCTCTTGGCCTTACAAATTTGTGTTAGTTTCCTTTTTGTCTTTGATACCTGACCATCTAAAGCAAAGATTTTTTAAAAGTTACCGTTTTACGTTTTCAATTCTAAACACCACTAGTGTCCATATAGGGACTAGATATAGATACCCCCTTGCAGCTACAGGTTTCTTTTTTTTTTTTTTAGCATTGCCTTTATGTTAGCTTATAATGTGAGACAGTCCAACAAGCACTTTCCTTTAGCCCTAGTTTTAAAATGGCAGGCATGAACCCTGTGTTTTCTCTCTTGAGCTCATATGTCGCCTAAATTAGCAGTTCCACATATCCCCATCCACTCTCTTGGACCTCTTGGACCCTAATAGGCTCTGCCAGGTAGACTAATGCATTCACGTTTTTGCACTAATTTGTTAGTAAGAAAACGTATCATAATCGCTTGGGCAGAGACTTGTCATGTTTGGCAGCCAAAATGTTTGTGCTCCTTATATTAAATTTCATAGGTGAAAAGAGATATTCAGTTAGGCTTTTCAAAAAATTGTGTTGCTGTTATATAGTTTTAGTATGAAATTTTTTTTTTTGGTGACTCCTATTTCTCACATAAGATTTTTTTTTTGTTACATACAGCCAATTACTATTGGAATTTTAATAATTTGGTAGGTCACCTAAAGCAGATTTAGAAGAGTGTATAGAGTATGATTCTTGGTGTATTTTAGTGTAATTTTACTTAGCATATAGTCTTTTGTAGGAACATTACGTGAAGAATAAATGGATAAGTAGCAAGACTCTAGTGAGATACTAGTTTAATTTTTAGGGAAATGTAAATTAGCTTATTACAAATTGTATTTATAACTTATTACCCTAATATATAATCATATATAAATTTATTTAAAATATGACCAGTGAATTCCATACACCTTTTTCATTAAAGGTCTCAAAATATCTGAGTACAGTATTAAAAATGAAAACTTGGTCATTATAAAATTATGAAAATGTTTATTCTAACAGTTATCAAATTCAGAAACTAGATTGTACATTAAAAATAACTTGGTTTAATCATGTTTTTCCTTTTTATAAATTAGTGATTGAAAATTAATGTGATTGAAGTTGTATCAGGCTTGATCATCTCCACTATTAAATACTGATGGGCTGTCTTTGCAGGAATTGCTGTAAGACTGAGGAGTACCTTGTGCTAAAAGATACTGGTCTGATTGTTGGTGTTTATTTTTTACATTCATTTATGTGATTTTTTGGTTAAAAAATACATTTAAAAAGTGAGTATGCTCATCACTCTGAGGAAAAAAACAATGACTGTTAACTGTAATATTTTGGCACCATGTTAGTGTACCAGAATCTTGCACATTTTTAAAAAGTAAATTAACCCTAAAAACACACAAACACACACATATGTAAATACAAAAATACTTTTAAAAACTTTAAATATTTATTGATTGCCTAGATTTTTGCCACCTCCCTCCTCCCCTCCCTCCCCCACCAGAGCCATTTGTTTTAGTGAAGAATTTAAGAAGAAAAAAAATTCGATAAAACTGATCAATGTGTTGAAATAATCTGACATCATAGAAGACATTGAATAGCTTTAGAGTTGTCTGCGCCTCTGGGGCCAACCTTATTCTTTATAATTTTGCGCCACTTGGTTTTATGTGTGTTGTGAGAAGTCGTTCTTTCCATTTTAACTTGTGTAGTGATTGTTTTGCTGGCTCTGCTTGCTCAAGTTGGCTGATGCTGGTTCATCTAAGTCTGCCCACCCTACCCCGTAGTCATCAGGCTTGTTGTTTCTTGAAGCACGGTAACGTTAAATTACATTCCCGTACCACGTTTTGGTTCGCTAACCTAGTGAACACCTCTTTTTTCTTACCTATCACAAAGAGTGCTGCTGTAAATGTTTTGGTGCATATGGAGTCTTTTAAAGATTTTTTTAAAATGTTCAAAGGAGGTTGATTTTAAAGAAAAAAATAAAACTTAAAATGAGCTTTCTTCTAAAGGAGTATTTTAAAAATTAGAAGCATCATAATGGTTATTGTAAATAAATATAAATTCTGCAGTTGCAAGATGTGGAGTTCTAAATTTTTTTTCTTTTTTTCTGAAAAGTCACAAATCACGGCCACTTTTGACTAAATTATTTTCTTCAAGTATTCCAGGTTGGGAGTGGCAGAGAGTCTTCAATAACAGAGAGATAAGGCAATAGTTAATGTCTTGTGTGATAGTAGTTTCTATGGGAGAAATTGCACAAATTACCTGTGAACTTCAGTGTTGTATTTAAATATTTTAGTAACCCAAAATTTTTGGTAACCCTAACACTTATTTTGGGTTATTTTCCAGTTTCTTTTGCTAAGATAGCACTTTTTACACGTTTCTATTAAAATAAAGGACAATTTATTCGATATCTGTGGTAATTATTAGAATTTAATACCACATCAACAGTAGTACTACATACTGTTTTCTCTGTTGTAGTACTTTATATGGTCATTTATTAACCCAGAATGAAGAAATGGTAAGTGCTTCCTATGTATCAAGCACTCTGCTCAGCCATGGGAATTCAAATACAAGCAAGCAAGACAGCCCCTTCCTTCAAAGAGTTTACCTCTTTTAGAAAAGAGGCAAGATGACACTTAAACGGAAGCTGAACAGGAAGGTAGAGGGGATGGTCAACTGGCGTAGAGGCTCAATTCCTTTGTGGCCTTAATCCGCCAAGTTCAAGTCTAAACCCCACTAGGCTAGGGTCCCTGGACCCTTGCTCCTAACCCTGCTGGGCTGGCTGCAACCCCCAGCCTCAATTCCTGAACTCCCAGATTCCCATCACTTGAGCTCCTGGGCCAGATTGAAGATTCCATCTATAGTGGCAAATAAGAAAGGAAAAGTCCCCAGCCTTAGAACCATCATCTGTGTGCCACATGGTAATAGTAAGGAAGGGAAAGAGGTAGGCCCTGGATCCTCTTGGCTGACAACATATTTTCTGCTGTGAGTGGAGGAGTCCTTCACCCTCAGACACAAATACAGGAAAAGACTCCAATGGTGTTGTCAGGCAGTTTTAAAGTTGCATAATGTTCCAGCTAATGGAAAAATTAATGTCCGCACGTGCGCCATCCCAGAAGCAAGTCCCCCAGAATCTTCCACATGGGTAACACTATGTTAAATGATCTGGACACGGACTAGCCCATTACATCTGAAATCATTTTTGTGCCTTCTTATGGTGCAATAATACTCCATTACAGTCATACTGTTTTCTTCTCTTAGAGGCAATCTAAGCAACTCCTTTAGATTCTAGTTCTTTTCTACTTTTTAATCTCTCAGTAGTAGGGAGTTGTTTAGTTTGTAGCTAATTACTCTCTGATATGTATCCTCCTCCTTAACCTCCCTTTCCCAATCCCTGATTATTTCCCTTGTGAATGAGATATATTTTGATATCTAGGAGTGTTCTGGAGCCAGCTCATATTGGCTGAGTGTGAGCCTTTACACCTCAAAAATGGACAAATGCTACAAAATCGGGGCTTAATTTTTGTTGATTGTTTAAATTTAAGTGATGGAGAAAATTCTAATAATACAGATGAAAATAAGTGTGCCAT